GGGGGCAGGAGGCCCTATCTCGACCTACTAGCTACTCCCCTTCTAACACACCCCAGGAAGCCATTGGCCTTCTTGGCCCTGAGGGCACACTGCTGGCTCATGGGCATCCTGTTGTCCACCAGCATCCCCAGGGCCCTTTCTCCTACACTGCTCTCCAGCAGTTCAGTCCCCAACCTGTACTGGCACATGGGGTTATTCTTTCCCAAGTGCAAAACTCTACACTTGCCCTTGTTGAATTTCATCAGATTTCTCCCCGCCCAGCCCTCCAGCCTCTCTAGGTCTCTCTGAATGGCAGCACAGCCTTCTGGTGCGTCAACCACTCCTCCCAGTTTTGTGTCATCAGCAAACTTGCCGACAGTGCTCTCTAATCCCTCGTTTAGGTCATTGATGAATATATTGAAAAGCACTGGCCCCAGCACTGATCCCTGAGGGACCCCACTAGACACAGGCCTCCAACTGGGCTCTGCCCCATTGACTACAACTCTCTGACTTCTTCCCTTCAACCACTTAGTGACCCACCTCACTACTCGGTCATTCAGACCACACTTCCTCAGTTTACCGATGAGGATGCTGTGGGACATTACATAAGAAGTAAAATTTTCACATAAAGCATTACTTAATTTTTGAAACACATCATAAAATTTCAAAGAAAGTCTCAACATGCTTCATAATGAAAACTACCGTTTCATTGGGCGAGTATTCATCTTCTGTTTGTTGTACAGGAGCCTGTTTGTAGTACAGGTCACTGCTATTGAAGGATCAAGACACAAAGGCTCTGCTGTAGCCAAAATAAGTTGGCTCTCAAGTAGGAGCTTGTCCTCCTGCAATACACACAGCTATTAATAAACGTAAAAATACAAATACTTTTACAGTAATTGTATTGATATATACCTAACCTATGCATATGTGAATGTTATCTTAAAGAAAAATGAAAAAATGGTGTGTGGATAGTCAACGAAAGAAAATTTCGAACAATTAAGTAATACTAACCATTATTACGAGTTACAGAGCTTTGGGTGGGGCTTCCAGTAGAAAAGAAATCCTTCCGAAAAATAAGGGGCATATTCTTTTTTTGTTGTTTGTGTTTTCTGTGTTTGTTTCAAACACAGTATGAGAAGCATGAAATCCATTTTCTGTTAGTGATTGGTATTGATGGACAGGCAACCACTGCTACAAAGATGATCTACCTGGGAGTTCAGATTACAATTTGAAATGGATTTGAGCATGACTGTGGCTCTGAAATACAAATGAGCATGTTGAGTACACTGTGCCGTTCAGCACACACCTAACTATAAACTATACAACCGTACTTACTTAGGATTCTCTTTACTGTATCAGTACCAATAGTAAAATGATGCTAGAGCAGTAACTGTGCCATTGAACTCCAACTGCTGTTCTTGGGCTGTATGTTGGAGATGAATGAAGTAAGGTAGACTCGTTAGAGTAACTCCCAATACTATCACTCTTCATTACCATAATTTAAGGTCTGATTGCACAAACTCCTATTGTTTTCTATGACATCTTGTGGGAAGATGCTATTAACAAGTTAATTTGTCAGCTCGAGCATGTACCATGCATCACTATGTACATGGCTAATAGTTTGAATTAATGAAAAATATAATCAGTTTAATCAGATTTTATTAAACAAGTCGTATTTGCTTGTACTTTACTGTGTATTTACTGCATCACTATGAAGTTTTAAAATAACTGCTAACCCACCTGCGTCCATTTGTGGTTGTCACTTGTTATAGAGTGCACATCACAAATTAAAGTCTGAGGAAGAAGAAATAACAGTAATTAGCTTTCAACTAAATAAGATTTCTTAACACATGTTCAGTAATAGCTCATAAGTAGTTTAGCAACTATCATAACCCTGAGGAATTGATCAAAACACTTCTTACCTGCATTGTAGGACGCAAAAGAATGTGCTTGCTTTGGTACGTTGGAGATTTCATGTTACCAGACTGCCTATAGTCACGTATTTCTGCTATGACACATCCACAATGAAAAATATTAACCTAATTGAAACAAAAACCAACAACTTGTAAATAAACAAAATATTTACCAATCTGCCTCAGCTGATTTTTTTTGCAGAAAAAGATGATTCCTAGGTATCATATCAAATTTAGCAATACTATGAATAAAACTAATCATTAATTTTTCAGATCAGTGGTCTTTAATATTTACCTAGTCATACCTAAAATACAAGTTACAAATATAGCGTTTTTGAATGTGCCAGTAATGTAATTCCAAGAAATTCCCAGGTCAAACATTTCATAATGACAAAGAACAAAGAGCATTTTGCTGCAGCACAGAGCTGAAGTTGTCTGGCAGCCTTAACTAAGCTAATCTCTCTTCTACTCCTTTGTCCCCAATATTTATTACTATTTTTTGCTATGTATCAATAAAATATTTGGGGCATTAAATATTACAGTTCCAAAAGCACAAGTGTTTTACAACATGTTGCTGGAATTGCCGACATGAAGCATTCAAAAAATCAAGGTCTATCTGGATGCAAAGAGTAAGTTCTCTTTGAAAACAAAACTTTCAAACCTGAGATTTTTCTAAAAGATCAACCAAAATAGGTGGTAGCTCCTCTGCATCCAAATATTCAAGCAGCTCTCCTTCCTCATAAGGCAGCCGAATGGTCTCAGAATCTGCATTTAAACAAAACATATTTCTTTTCAAGTTTAAACATTTACAATATGAAATCTAAAATCAATCTTGCCACCGGAAATAGCAGGGCCAGTGGAAACCTATCTAGACAGGCACATATTTTTTTTGCATAGTATTAATTTCTACATTCATTTATGTTCCCAGAGCTTTATTTTGATCTTAATAGCTCAACAGGACTAAATTTTTGCTCCCAGCCAATATATCCATGCTCTTATTGCACATCACAGTACTAGTGGCATGAAGATGGAACCAAACTGGAACAGAGATGCCTTTAGTCGACTTAGTTTTAGGAAGCAGGGAAAGAAACAATTAGACAGAAGGAACGTCATGTGAGAGAAACTCAGATAAGCAACTTGGAAAGCTAAGAGGAAATACGAGACTGGAAGACCACTGACTTACGCTGCACCGTCAGAGACCGTTTCTAAGCATCTCGCAGCTTTATGAAAATTTTTAATTCAAGTACAGCTGGGGCTTTTTATAGCTTTGTTTTGGTTTTTTTTCTCCACACAAGAGATTATGTTAGAAGCAAAACAGTTAAATATAAGCAACAACACATTCTAGTTATAGAGCATTCAGAGTACTTTTAAAAATTAGAGAACGAAAAAATTACCTGAACCATTTTTTCCCCTGAGCATAAGTGAATAACCCTCATTTCCTGGATAGAGGTTCACTACCAGACACGACAAGGTCTCCTGCATAACCAGCTTCTCAAGTAAATTCACATTTCGTCTCAGCTTCTGCTTTAAAAGTAAACATTGCTCATGAACATAATCCTATCAAGCAATTAGCAGAAATCCAAAATAATTGCTAGAATACGAGTACTATTCAGATTAATGTTGAAGCATATACTTAAACAAGCCAAGTTAAATTTAATTTGACTGTATATTCAGCACAGTATGTATGTTATGTATTATTATACTTAGATTTTTAAAAAAAACAACAAACCACACCTATTTAAGTTAAAAACCCCACATCTTGAATTAAGTCCGCAGACAACACAGTTAAGAATGCTGCAGACTTACAGTGCGTTACTATTCGTATTCTATGAGTATCATTTACACATTATACATTGTTTGAGAACAACAATATATTCTGTATTTTTGAATATTCCTAACAGAAGCAGATATTTAGTTATTTAATTGTAAGAATGATTTTTTCCCAAGTGTAACATATCTTCAAAATTAATTAGCGTGTTTCAAAGGCCCCCCATACATATCTTACAAATTTAAACATTTTACAAGTCCCTTTAGAATGTAAACCAATGAATTCTACATCCCAGATAATTTTTAAACCTTCTGTCTGAAGGCCAGATTTCATAGCTGAATACTACTTCTGGGTGGAGTCGTATGTTGGAAGTTAAAACTACCACTCTACTAAGCTGCCCAACGGCTCATTTCATGTACACCCAACTAAATCGTAGCGGGCTATCTTTTTTTGAACAAATTCATCTTTCCAGAGATAATAAGAAGACAGAATACAGAATCATTACTTATAGGGGAATGAACTAAGAGAAAAGAGCCAAAAACAAAACACCAGGTCCTACAGCTGTACTATCCAACTTTCTACAATTCCAGGTATGCAGAGAAAAAGGAGGGAACTCTT